TCGCGGTTTGCCCCCCAAAATGTTGCTTAAGAATTGCCTTTTATTTCCCTTGAGAGGACTGTAATACCCAGGAGAAATAACAAGGAAAGGTTATGCAACGTTTTGGTGGGCAAACAAGGTGTGTTATGGGCGATGTGCTAATCGCGAAACATTGAATTATGCGCCTACATCCTTGACCCATTTTACGAATTTCTTGCTTCAGTCAAAGCTTTGTAAGAGTAATTTTTCATGAAGAAAAGTTGCGTTAACGTTGTAAGGTGATGCCATCCACTTCAGTATGATAAAGGAATAAAAGAAAGTACATAAATTGTACTAATCACTCCGGTGTTAAAGTTCAGATTACAAGAAAGCATGGACCAGTTTTAAATTTATGTATTCAGAATTCATTGTCCGATCCGTTCGTACCGCTTCTTCGATTCCAGTTAATAGAGTGGAATAGTTATGAAACCGCGTCAGACTCCTTCGCCCTACTTTTTTTTTTTGTGGACTTGAAGGTGCACAACGTTTAATAGCATTCCTATCATTTGGATCTTATTGACAAATAAAAACGTCCCATTAATTTGTTGTGAACCGTCAGGGCGCTTCCAACATAAACTGCAGCACGGTCTTTCATAACCAGTCTCCTTCACTAACTATGATTCCATGCCATGCATGCAGAGTCTGTACATTTAATTTCCTGAATTTCATGAAGTGTGGTCTAGAAGTAATAGATCAAACATGAGACGCAGTGTTTCATCACCAGAAGAAACAGAAAGAAGAGAGTTGAAAATATGACGCGCGGCCGAGTATTTTTGACGAACTTCGAGGTGTTTCATCTGGTGATGAAACACTGTGTCGAATGCTTCGCTTGATATTACTTCTCAGACAAAATAATTATAGACAGAGAAATTAAGCATGCAAAAATGAGCAGTTTCTCATCCGATTTCCAAACACTCATTAAACATTTAACTTCCTTTGTATTTTCTTATGAATTATTAATTAGTTTGAGAACTGAGTGTGATGGATGTGTTTATATTTTTCCTTTTTAGAAAGTGAAAGAAGATCCAGAGGTTGTAAAGAGGAGAAGGGAACGAAACAAGATTGCGGCAACAAAATGTCGAAAACGAAAGAGAGAACGGATTGAAAAACTCCAACAGGTATTGCTTACTCTTAGAGTAACTAGTTGTGATTGCTTATCGTTAAATTAGAAAAACTGTCTGAACTGTACCAATCTGAGCAGGAGGATCTTTAAGCCCGTATCTCTAAGCGCTAGTGAAAGGCAAAGTTCTGAATCGCAAAATCCATTAGAAATTTGCGTGTACCCGTCTATCTTATTTCAACCGTAAACTTCAACATTATGCAATTTTAAGCTTTTCTGAAGGTATTCCAAGTCATAAGTTCTATCATGTCTATGATCGCATACCAATCGTGATATATAAGCAATGAAAAAAAAGAGACAGATTTTTACAAGGTTAGTCATCATCTGAAGTGGATATTTTCACAAATTCCAGCAAGACGAAGACCCGTTTACAACCCTGTCTATATTTTTAAACTTCAGGCATCTTTCTGCCGGTATTTGCAGGGGCCACCGAGCAGTTTTTAAAGTGCGGGGGCGAATAACCACCTCTTTTAAAGTGGGGGTGTGGTTGCCGGGGGTGCGGGGGTGGGCTCTAAATATACTGAAATTACTTTTCCAATAGGCCATTTTACAGTTGTTTGCTCGGTGCCCGGCTTTTCATGTGCAAATCGTGGTATTCTCATGCTAACAAGCCCGTTAACATGATCATTTACATATGAAAAACAAGGAGGTTTGTAACAAAACAAGGTCGCAGCCATCCCCGCTTCTATTCAAAGGCTAATTATGGTTAGGATCAGCAAATTTATTTGCCACGTCGGCAAGGCACATTTGCCAGTTCTCTCTTTGTGGCTGTTTAGTTCTGTCAGATTACTGAAGCTTTCTTGAATAATTGTTAAGCGGAGCCATGTTTTTAACCTTCAAGCCGCCGAAAAAGACCTTTCTCCTGCTGAGCCTGATTGCACATAGAGGGTTCAGCAGCAGAAGTTTGCAGATTGTGGCAATTTCACTGATTTATCATGATCTTATGAGGTTCTTGTGACCCCTTCATTTTGTCTAGAATGTCATCGAAACATGTAATTTCCCAACTATTGATCAAAACTTCAAATTTCCAGTCGGGCTTTTAATGCATCGTGGACTACATCATCAGCAAATAAAATTCGTTTTAAGTAGCCATTAAGTTCCGTCAAGTAGTCTTCAAATTTAACCCTTTAAGTCCCAATATCAACATACAAATTCTCCAAACTGATCTCCATACATTTCCTTTAAGAATCAGTTGAGAGAATTTAATAACAGATCAAGGTATTTTCTCTTTGGTGATCATTTGTAAATTCTCATAACTGTATCTCTTGACAATTACTGGATATTGTTATGAGAAAATTGATGTTGGTCACTTTCGGGATTTAAAGGGTTAACAGGGAACCTTGCAACAATGAATTCCGCATTGTTGCAGAAGTCTACGACTAAGTGCAGTTTTGTAAAGATAGCCGTTTTGAGTTATTAGTCATCAGATATATGATCGGAGGGCCAATAATAAATTTAGATACTTTTGTTAGGTCCGCCAGCCGAACATTCTTACTCCAACAAAGTTACTTTTTACTTGAAAATGTCTATTACTTTTTTTTTTTCAAAGAGTAGTGGGGGAGGGGGGAGGGGCTGCTCCCCAGCCCCTCCCTCTCCGCGGGCCCTGAAATTGTCCGACCGAAAAAAAGATCCAACCCTGTATCTGTTATTGGTGTATGTATTCAGTGGTATATCTGAATACACACGGAAAAGGGTTAAGTTGAACTAAGGATAAAAATGAATCAATAAAAATGAATCATAACTTGTACACCTGTTGTTTCTTAAATAATTATCTTTTTTTCCTTTTTTACTTTATCGCAGAAAACTAACAAGATTCGAGCTGAGAAAAGAATGCTTGAAGAGGAGAAAAAGGAACTTCAGAGAGAGTTGGCAAATCTTAAGGCTGCTTTTGCAAATCATAAATGCAAAAGACTGCAACGGCAACGCGACGACGCGTCCGAATTTATAAACCTGACTCCGCCCACTTTTCAGTCAACCTCCATGGGGAAGAATATTTGAAAGAAGATTCCACAGTGACACCTCAACGGACTTCTGTTGGGAAAGTATGAAAAACAAGCCGATGACTCAGTACGTCTTTCTGAAGGGTACCCTCGAATACAGTTCTTCAACCTTCAGTTCTGTGCTTAGGAAAATAGCTGAAATTTACTTCTGAGGTCAGGCCTGACGAACACTCCTTTTACGGAACTTCCTTCACTGTATTCGATAAACTTAAGTTTCATATCGAATATCAAATATTCGAGATGGAATATCTGTTACTTATATTAAGCTCGTAATGTTGCTCTTTTATATAAAGAGATATACAATTTCTTTGGATTTCCAAAGGACTCCTAGGTTATATACTGTAGCCGAGATTTTGGCTTTAAATAAACGCATGTGAGAAATCCTCTGATTCGTAAGTTTAGATGCAAAATATGCTCAGCAAATAAGTATTATGCTTAAAAATGATGTAGTACTTATTCAGCTTTGTAACACCTTAGTATGTCAGCTTTTTTTTTTCTCGTTCCCGCGATCACTAGTAGTTATAGAAATGGGGATTGCGGAGCACTTTTCAAGTACCAAAAATAGCATTTCTGGCGCAAAT